AGCCTTGGAGCGTGGACCCTTGGACCCCTGGACCCCTGGACCTTGCATGCTGGGACCCTGGGGACCCTTCAACCCTTGGACCCCTGGACCCTTGGACCCCTGGACCCCTGGACCCTTGGACCCGTGGACCCCTGGACCCTTGGACCCCTGGATCCCCTGGACCCTTGGACCCTCCCTGGACCCCTGGACCCTTGGACCCTTGAGCCTTGGAGCGTGGACGCTTGGACCCCTGGACCCTGGACCCCTGGACTCTTGGACCCCTGGACCCTTGGACCCTTGCACGCTAGGACGGACCCTTGGACCCCGAGACTCTTGGAGCCTTCCCTTGAAATCTTGGACCTTTCACCCTAAACCCTAAACCCTAAACCTTAAACCCTAAACCCTAAACCCTAAACCCTTAACCTTGGCCCTTGGACCCTTGGACCCTTGGACCCTTGGACCCTTGGACCCTTGAACCCTCGGACCCTTGCACGCTTGGACCCTGCGACCCTTGGCCTCAGACTCTTGGAGCCTTGGAGCGTGGACTCTTGTACCCCTGGACCCTTGCCCGCTGTGACTCTGGGACCCTTGGACCCTGAGACTCTTGGAGCCTTGGAGTGTGGACCCTTGAATCTTGGACCTTTGAGGCCCTTTGGACCCCCTGGGACTCTCGACCCTGCATGCTCGGACACAGTGCTGTTGACGGTTATTTTTACGGTTTGCGCGGGCGCTCAAGGATGCAGACGTTCATCATTTTGCTTCAGATAAGGTATAACTTAGTTAACCCCATCATTCTGAGCTGATCGGAGGGCTTCGCCGCTCCACCGCTCAGCAGACTCCCTGTGGCTCGCTTTGCCTTTGGCCTGCCACCATGATCCGCGGCTTTGTCCCCAACCATTCCACCAAGTCGCCTCACGAGCTTTCTGGTCTTGTCGATCCCATTTCGCCTTTTCACGGATAGCTTTAGCCTTCAAAATGTCAGCTTCGGCACGTACACGCGCCAAGCGCACCCTCTCCAGTTCAATCTCCTGCAAGATGATGGCTTCGGACTTTGTCGGCACGTTCCCGGTCTTAGGCTCCGCGGTATCGGGGATAACACTCTCGGGCTTAGCGTCCGAGATACTTGACTTCTTGGCTGAAACCTGTGGCTTGGACTTCATGATGTTCTTCTTGGTGGCCAGAGCACGTGTGCTTTGTGGAGACGGCTTGCTCTTCTGAGAAGACGTAGCGCTCGTTGCTAATGCAATGATAGGTGTGTGTTCGCATTTGCAGCGGTCGCGTCGCACAAGGCACATCTTGCACTTGGAGTAAGGCATTGCTGCTAAAGCGGGAGTTTCAAAACAAATGCCTCGAGCGTTTCAGCGCGATCGCATGAAATTCCAACATGGTCTGCCTCCAGGCTACCCTAAAAATCTAGGCTACCAGCAAACACAAAACTCAAACCTAAGCATGCAGGCTATCCCAGCAAGTCCAGACTACCCTAAAAATGCTGGCTACCACCAAACAAAAACTCAACCCTAAGGATACAGGCCACCCTAAAAAAAAACAACCTACCTTAAGAATGATGGGGGATGATGGGGTGGGCCCCTCGAGGGGTCAAACAAGTAAGATGTTTTTTTTTAAATTTAAAAAACCTTAAATTCCTTAAATTCCTAAATTAGGCATTTAGGAACTTAAGGTTTTTTTAAAATTTAAAAAAGCCCTTTTTAAATTTTAAAAAACCTTAAATTCCTTAAATTCTTAAATTAGGTATTTAAGAATTTAAGGAATTTAAGGAATTTAAGGTTTTTTTAAAATTTAAAAAAGGGCCGGCCGAATAATTTTATTTACCTAATTTAGGAATTTAAGGAATTTAAGGAATTTAAGGCTTTTTTATAATTTAAAAAGTGCCTTTTTAAAATTTAAAAAAACCTTAAATTCCTTAAATTCTTAAATTGCGTAAATAAAATTGTTGGGCCGGCCCTTTTTTAAATTTTAAAAAAACCTTCAATTCCTTAAATTCCTTAAATTCCTAAATTAGCTATTTAGGAATTTAAGGAATTTAAGGTTTTTTGAAATTTTAAAAAGGGACTTCTTAAATTTTTTAAATTTTAAGAAGGGCCTTTTTAAATTTTAAAAAAACCTTAAATTCCTTAAATTCTGAAATTGCGTAAATAAAATTGTTGGGCCGGCCCTTTGTTAAATTTTAAAAAAACCTTAAATTCCTTAAATTCCTTACATTCCTTAAATTCCTAAATTAGCTATTTAGGAATTTAAGGAATTTAAGGTTTTTTAAAAATTTAAAAAGTGCCTTTTTAAATTTTTTAAATTTTAAAAAGGGCCTTTTTAAATTTTAAAAAAACCTTAAATTCCTTAAATTCTTAAATTAGGTATTTAAGAATTTAAGGAATTTAAGGAATTTAAGGTTTTTTTAAAATTTAAAAAAGGGCCGGTCGAATAATTTTATTTACTTAATTTAGGAATTTAAGGAATTTAAGGAATTTAAGTTTTTTTTGAATTTTAAAAAGGGCCTTTTTAAATTTTTTAAATTTTAAGAAGGGCCTTTTTAAATTTTAAAAAAACCTTAAATTCCTTAAATTCTGAAATTGCGTAAATAAAATTTTTGGGCCGGCCCTTTGTTAAATTTTAAAAAAACCTTAAATTCCTGAAATTCCTTAAATTCCTAAATTAGCTATTTAGGAATTTAAGGAAGTTAAGGTTTTTTTAAATTTTAAGAAGGGCCTTTTTAAATTTTTTAAATTTTAAAAAGGGCCATTTTAAATTTTAAAAAAACCTTAAATTCCTTAAATTCTTAAATTAGGTATTTAAGAATTTAAGGAATTTAAGGAATTTAAGGTTTTTTTAAAATTTAAAAAAGGGCCGGTCGAATAATTTTATTTACCTAATTTAGGAATTTAAGGAATTTAAGGAATTTAAGGAATTTAAGGAATTTAAGGTTTTTTTTAAATTTTAAAAAGGGCCTTTTTAAATTTTTTAAATTTTAAAAAGGGCCTTTTTAAATTTTAAAAAAACCTTAAATTCCTTAAATTCTGAAATTGCGTAAATAAAATTGTTGGGCCGGCCCTTTTTCAAATTTTAAAAAAACCTTAAATTCCTTAAATTCCTTAAATTCCTTAAATTCCTAAATTAGCTATTTAGGAATTGAAGGAATTTAAGGTTTTTTTAAATTTTAAAAAGGGCCTTTTTAAATTTTTTAAATTTAAAAAAGGGCCTTTTTAAATTTAAAAAAAACCTTAAATTCCTTAAATTCTTAAATTAGGTATTTAAGAATTTAAGGAATTTAAGGAATTTAAGGTTTTTTAAAATTTAAAAAAGGGCCGGTCGAATAATTTTATTTACCTAATTTAGGAATTTAAGGAATTTAAGGAATTTAAGGTTTTTTTAAATTTTAAAAAGGGCCTTTCTAAATTTTTTAAATTTTAAAAAGGGCCTTTTTAAATTTTTTAATTTTTAAAAAGGGCCTTTTTAAATTTTTAAAAAACCTTAAATTCCTTCAATTCTGAAATTGAGTAAATAAAATTGTTGGGCCGACCCTTTTTTAAATTTTAAAAAAACCTTAAATTCCTTAAATTCCTTAAATTCCTAAATTAGCTATTTAGGAATTTAAGGAATTTAAGGTTTTTTTAAATTTTAAAAAGAGCCTTTTTAGTTTCTTTAATTTTTAAAAAGGGCCTTTTAAATTTAAAAAAAAAACCTTAAATTCCTTAAATTCTGAAATTGCGTAAATAAAATTGTTGGGCCGGCCCTTTTTTAAATTTTAAAAAAACCTTAAATTCCTTAAATTCCTTAAATTCCTTAAATTCCTAAATTAGCTATTTAGGAATTTAAGGAATTTAAGGTTTTTTTAAAATTTAAAAAGGGCCTTTTTAAATTTTTTAAATTTAAAAAAGGGCCTTTTTGAATTTAAAAAAAAACCTTAAATTCCTTAAATTCTTAAATTAGGCATTTAAGAATTTAAGGAATTTAAGGAATTTAAGGTTTTTTTAAAATTTAAAAAAGGGCCGGGCGAATAATTTTATTTACCTAATTTAGGAATTTAAGGAATTTAAGGAATTTAAGGTTTTTTAAATTTTAAAAAGGGACTTCTGAAATTTTTAAATTTTAAAAAGGGCCTTTTTAAATTTTTTAAATTTTAAAAAGGGCCTTTTTAAATTTTAAAAAAACCTTAAATTCCTTAAATTCTGAAATTGCGTAAATAAAATTGTTGGGCCGGCCCTTTGTTAAATTTTAAAAAAACCTTAAATTCCTGAAATTCCTTAAATTCCTAAATTAGCTATTTAGGAATTTAAGGAAGTTAAGGTTTTTTTAAAATTTAAAAAGGGCCTTTTTAATTTTTTTAAATTTTAAAAAGGGCCTTTTAAATTTTAAAAAAACCTTAAATTCCTTAAATTCTTAAATTAGGTATTTAAGAATTTAAGGAATTTAAGGTTTTTTTAAAATTTAAAAAAGGGCCGGTCGAATAATTTTATTTACCTAATTTAGGAATTTAAGGAATTTAAGGAATTTAAGGTTTTTTTAAATTTTAAAAAGGGCCTTTTTAATTTTTTTTGAATTTTAAAAAGGGCCTTTTTAAATTTAAAAAAACCTTAAATTCCTTAAATTCTGAAATTGCGTAAATAAAATTGTTGGGCCGGCCCTTTTTTAAATTTTAAAAAACCTTAAATTCCTTAAATTCCTTAAATTCCTTAAATTCCTAAATTAGCTATTTAGGAATTTAAGGAATTTAAGGTTTTTTTAAATTTTAAAAAGGGCCTTTTTAATTTTTTAAAATTTTAAAAAGGGCCTTTTTAAATTTTAAAAAAACCTTAAATTCCTTAAATTCCTAAATTAGGTATTTAGGAATTTAAGGAATTCAAGGTTTTTTTAAAATTTAAAAAGGGCTTTTTTTAATTTTAAAAAAACCTTAAATTCCTTAAATTCTTAAATTAAGTATGTTGTGTGGTAGGCAGCAAGCCACGCGCCAAATAGTACATAAAGGTCCCTCGTACAAACCCCTAAACCCCGAGAAGCCCCGGAAGCGCCTTCTTGGTCTCCACTGGCGGCTCCTCGGCCTCGGTGCAAGCTTTCGGCGTCTTTGGTTGTTTGATTTTTTTGGGGGGTTTAGGGTTTAGGGTTTAGGGTTTAGGGTTTAGGGTTTAGGGTTTAGGGTTTAGGGTTTGGGGTTTAGGGTTTGGGGTTTGGGGTTTGGGGTGTTTGGGGTTTGGGGTGTTTGGGGTTTGGGGTTTGGGGTTTGGGGTTTGGGGTTTAGAGTTTGGGGTTTGGGGTTTGGGGTTTGGGGTTTGGGGTTTGGGGTTTGGGGGGCTTTAGGGTTCTTAGGGTTTGGTTTTTGTTTAAGGGTTGTTTAAAGAAGTTTTTTTGAGGGTTTCTTGGGGTCTTTAGGGTTGTGGATAGTCTTTTGGGGTTCTTAGGTTTTTTTTTTTTTTTTTTTTTGGGGGGGGGGGGGGTTCTGAGGAAGGAATTTTATAGAGTCGTTTCTGTAGGTGGTTCTTAGGGTTTAGATATCTAGGTTGATGGTTTTGTCGGGCTTGTCTTTTTTGTTTAGGGTTCTCAAGGTTTAGATATTGAGGATTTGTAGGGTTTATAAACTTTTTTAACCATTTATCGGGTTTTTAGGGTATATAGGGTTCTGTCTTTAGGGTTGGTAGGGTTTCAAAAGCAAGGCTTGATGGGATTTGTGGGCTTCATGGGCTTTGTCGGGATTTTGGGGTTTACAGGGCTTCTTAGTGTTTTAGGGCTTGTAGCCCAGTAACCATACGATAATGAGGATACCCTTGTGGTTGGTCACTTTATAAGGGAGCCTTGCTACCAAGATCGGCTTTGTAGGGTTTTTTTGGGGGGTTTGTAAGACTTATGGGTCCTTTTAGGGTTTAGGTTCTTTGTTGCCTTAGGGTCTTCCACACGGACAGGTCACCATAAATGGTAACCCTCAAGAACTGAGAGGGAGAGGTTAGGGACCGATAAAGTTTCGAGCAGAGAGCTGAAGGGGCTTAGGGTTGCGGGTTTAGGGTTGAGGGTAAACCCTAAACCCCAAACCCCAAACCCCAAACCCTAAACCCTAAACCCTAAACCCTAAACCCTAAACCCTAAACCCTAAACCGTTTCGCGCAGTCTAGGATGCGGGTTTTGGAGGTGGAGTCTAGAGGGCTTGGGCTTAGAGTCTAGGGTTTTCCAGACGAGGATTCAGGGCCCAATTTAGGGTTGGTAGCCAGAACTTTCCGGATGAGTTTGTGAGGCTTGTTTTCCAAGAGCCTCCAGTCCATCTTACGATTGGATGCACTGATGGACTGGCATGGACTCCTCTGCCCTCACAGTGAGAAAGTCAGAGATGTCCTTGTTTAGAGGCTTACAAGCCCTAAACCCCACTACGCCCTAAGGCCCTCAGAACAGATGAGCATTGCCTTGTTGCGTGTGCCCACTTGGGAGGTTGAGGGTATGACAGGCTGAAGGCAGACTTCCCCAGGTCATAACATCAGACCTACGCAGCGCACCATACACCCACTTTGGGGCTTCGGGTTTCGGGTTTAGGGTGAAGGGTCCGACAACCCAACGCCCGCAGCAGGTGGTGGAAGAAGATGCTCTGCTCTGCCCGAAACTAGACCCGGGAGTTACCTAGGAATAAAAAGGGCACCCTCTTTGGTTTTAAGGGGGTTAGAAGGGAGACCCAAGCCTAAAATAGGCGACTCCCAGTCCTAGGAAATACATGCTGTAGCAGATCTGGGGTTGCAAGATGATGCGATCATTCTATCCCAACGGGATTCTTTGTCTCAGCATGGTCTCGAATCTATCCAGTGATGTAGCTTTGCGCTGAGAGACCATCATAGTCATGGCATAGATCTTGTACCGGTGCAGTTGAGGGCTGCCATGATGGTTGCAAACATCCTGAAGGGGTCTGCCACACATGGTACGGCCCGTAGCCATGGCTTCTGAGCCTATTCACACAAGAACTCAACACATCAGAACCCCAACCCCCCTAAACCCTAAACCCTAAACCCTAAACCCCTCAACCCTACATCCTAAAACCCTACCCCTGAACCCTAAGTACTAAGTACCACTAACAAGTCCCAGACCCTGAGCCCGAAACCCTACATTATCCTAAACCCCCTTCATCCTACATGGCCAAAACTATGCAAAAACAAAGCCACAGCGGCTCTTCTCATCTAAAGACTAAAGCTCCTCAACCCCCAACACCTCCTAAACCACCCCTAAACCCCTAAACCCCTCTAACCCCAAACCCCTGAGCATTCAAGCCTCAACCCCCTACCCCTCCTAAGCCACCCCGAAAACCCGAAGCCCCGAAACGCCCAAACCGCCCTAACTCTAAAGCCTAAACCCTTAACCCCCTACACCTCCTAAGCTACACCTAAGAGCCCTAAGCCCTAAACTCTAAACCCTGCACCCTAACAACCCTAAAGCCTAAAGCCCCTAGAACTCTAAACCCTAAAGCCCTAAACCCCAAACCCTAAAGCCCTAAACCTTAAAACCCTAAACCCTAACCCCAAACCCTAAACCCCCAAACCCTAAACCACCAAACCCTAAACCCCAAACCCTAAACCCTAAACCCGCAAACCCCAAACCGTCAACCCTAAACCCTAAACCCCAAACCCCAAACCCTAAACACTAAACCCCAAAGCCCCTCAAGCCCTTTTCAGGCCGCGGGCAGCAGAGGCCGACGAGTCGGCGACGGCTTCGCCCCGCCCGAGGGCCGCCAACTCGGCGACTTCCTCTCGACAAGGGGGTTTAGGGTTTAGGGTTTAGGGTTTAGGGTTTAGGGTTTAGGGTTTAGGGTTTAGGGTTTAGGGTTTGAGGTTTAGGGTTTGAGGTTTAGGGTTTAGGGTTTGGGGTTTAGGGTTTGGGGTTTAGGGTTTAGGGTTTGGGGTTTAGGGTGTGGGGTTTATGGTTTGGGGTTTAGGGTTTGGGGTTTAGGGTTTGAAGGTTTGGGGTTTGGGGTTTAGGGTTTAGGTTTGAGGTTTAGGGTTTGGGGTTTAGGGTTTGAGGTCTAGGGTTTAGGGTTTGGGGTTTAGGGTTTGGGGTTTAGGGTTTAGGGTTTGAGGGTTTAGGTTTTGTGGTTTAGAGTTTAGGGATTGTGGTTCAGGGTTTGGGGTTTAGGGTTTGTACATGTGTAGTGTTTCGGGGAACCCTAAACCCTAAACCCAAAACCCTAAACCCGGGTTTTCGCAGGAGCTGGGATTCACACATTGAGGTTTCAGGCGTTTAGAGCCGAAGCTCACCGGGGGTTTAACCAGGAATTGCCTTCAGCGGGTGCTCCAACAACGTGAGGTTGCAAGATCCGCTATAGTCTAGCTGGTTAGGATACTCGGCCCTCACCCGAGCGACCCGGGTTCGAGTCCAGAACCCTAAACCCGTTTAGGGTTTAGGGTTTAGGGTTTAGGGTCTAGGGTTTAGGGTTTAAACCCCCTAAAGCCTGAACCTCCCAATCCCTAGACCCTAAGCCGCAAACCCGAAAGCCTACGCATCCCAACCCGCAGACCCTAGACCTCGCAAAACCCTAGACGCGAACCCTAAACCTCGCGAACCCGAAACCTCCTAAACCCTACACCTCCTGAGCCCTAAACCCTAAACCTAAAACTCCTGAACCCCAAACCCTAAACCCTAAACCCTAAACCCTAAAGCCTAAAGCCTAAACCCTAAACCCTAAACCCTACACATCCGGAACCCGAAGCCCCAAGCCCGAGCCCTTCGGCCAGTGCTCCTCCTCGGACAGGATGGGAGCAGGCCAGCCGCCTTGTAGGGTTTAGGGTTTAGGGTTTAGTTTTTAAGGAAGGGCCGCCACGGTGGCTTCTCATAGCAGGCCCGAAGTCCAGGGAGTAGGGGTTTAGGGTTTAGGGTTTCGAGGTTTGGGGGTTTAGGGGTTTAGGGTTTAGGGTTTAGAGGTTTGGGGGTTTGGGGGTTTAGGGGTTTACAGGTTTCGGGCTTAGGTTCAGAGTCCCCGTCAGAGCAGAAAGAGGCAGGCGCCTTCCGGCGCCTTCTCCAAGAAGTAGAGCGCGAAGCAGCTATGTGTGGCCTGCTTCTGGTTTAGGGTTTAGAGTTTAGGGTTTAGGGTTTAGGGTTAAGGGTTTGGGGTTTGGGGTTTAGGGTTTGGGGTTTGGGGTTTGGGGTTCGGGGTTTGGGGTTTGGGTTTAGGGTTTCCGGCAGTGGAATGCGGACCCTGGGGGCATAGGCTGTGAAGGCAGCCACGCCCCAACACACCGCCGGCATTCTTCCATCTAGGGACCTTTAAGAAAATAGGGTTTAGGGTTTAGGGTTTAGGGTTTAGGGTTTAGGGTTTAATTAGGGTGTAGGGTGTAGGGTTTAGGGTTTAGGCTTTAGGTTTAGGGTATGTTGAGTACTTGTTGGAGAAACCCGAAACCCCTCGAAGCCTCTAAACCCCTGACCCGAAAAGCCCTAAACTCTGGACCCTAAACCCTAAAACCCGACATCCTAAGCACTTGAACCCCACATCCAAAACCCTTGATTCCCAAAACACCTACAGCCAAAGTCCCCAAACGACGGGATGAATCCGCCGAATCCCGAAACCCGAAACCCGAAACCCGAAACCCTAAACCGCCTAAACCCTAAACCCTAAACCCTAAACCCTAAACCCTAAACCCTAAACCCTAAACCCTAAACCCGAAACCCCGGCCTTGGCAGTCTTGGACTTTTGGGTCACCCTGCAAGGCAAGGCAAACCGGGTGCCACTCTTCACCTCGGTTTCCTTCTCCTGCGGCCAGGGCTCCATTTAGGGTTTAGGGTTTAGGGTTTCCAGGGCTCCTTTCGGAGTGTGGCTTGGGTTCGGGGTTTCGGGTTTCGGGTTTAGGGTTCAACCCGCGAAATCCCCCCGTAAGCACTACACACCCAGCTCTGAGCCCAAGACCTAACCGAGCATGGGCCTGCGACATGTTGGGAATTGCTCATAGGCAGCTCCCTGGGGTTTAGGGTTTAGGGTTTCGGGTTTAGGGTTAGGGGAATCCCCCCCCCCCCCCCCCCCCCCCCCGCCCTTCACCCAAAGAAAATGGGAAGAAAGGGAAGTGCCCCCTCAGGAGGACCACCAACAAGAGACCCTGAAACCCAAAACCCTGAACTCCTCATGTTTCAGAGACCCCCGCCAAACCCCAAACCCTAAGGCTCTAAATGTAGACATCACACCCAGAAACCCTGAAACCCTGAAACCCTCAAACCCTGAAACCTATAAACAACCCAAACCCAGAACCCTCAAACCTAAACCCTAAACCCTAAACCCTAAACCCTAAACCCTAAACCCTAAACTTCAGGTCCTTCTCCAAGCGAATCCATCTTTTCTTCCCAGCCTTCGGTGCCGGCGCGCTAGGGCACCGAGATTCGGGAGCTTCCGGGTTTAGGGTTTAGGGTTTAGGGTTTAGGGTTTAGGGTTTAGGGCTAGCCTGAAGGGTTGGCTAGCCGTGGAGGGCTTCGGGTTGAGGAGTTCGAGAGGAGTTTGAGGGTGGAGTGTTTAGGAGTGTAGGAGCGGAAAGTTTAGGAGGAGGTAGGAGTTTACTGGCTGGTTCTTAGTAGGGAATGAGGGAATGAGGTAATCTATAGAATCTCTGAAAGGGAATATATAGGGCCCTGATTCCCTCATTCCCTACAAAGAACCAGGGACTTTCCTAAACCCTAAACCAGAGTGCTGAGGATTCTGGTTCTGACGTCGGCCGGTAGACCAGACCAGCATATGCCACCATCAGGGATCCTTCTCCGATGCCGGGTGTCGGGGTTTAGGGTTTAGGGTTTAGGTTGAGGGTTGAGGGTTTAGGTTGAGGGTTGAGGGTTTAGCGTTTAGGGTTTAGGGAGAGGGTTTAGGGTCTGCGGTTTAGGGAAAAAGGGTGTTCGCACTCATGCAATTTCCCAGGAGCGTTGAAGCATTTGGTAGGCCAGGTGGCGGCTTTGATGGCTGAGCCCAGCGTGCTCAAGTCCTTCACCGTCACCTTTGGCTTCAGGCCTCCACGTGCGAAGCCACGTGAGGCATCAAAGTACGAATGCATATGCTAGGACATAATATGCTATGGTATACCGTAGTAAGTGATGATATTGTCTTCATATCTTACATAAAGTATAACCAAAATCATGACAGCTTCTTCGGGAATATGTGAATTTAGCGTTCGTACACAATAATTACAATAGACTCTGAGTCCCACCGAACAACATCTCTGCAGCGCCACCTGCCTTTGCTGACGCTGCCTCTGTGCAAAGTGACAGTCATGTGTTGCCACGAGACCGCCATATTCCTGAGCGGACAAATTAGCTGAGACAAGGAATCCTCCCGAAGTCGCATAGGCATCATTCATGCAGTTTAAGGCTATATTCAGTGGCAGTGGCTCTTAATGTTGCACTAGTTTTAGCAACATTACCTGCAATTATGCGAATTTCCAAGAAACTATTCAGGACACCCCTATTCATGTGGGTTGCGCGGTATGCGAAGTTGGTGTCCCGGGGATCCGAGGGGGGGGGGGGGGGTGGGAGGTGGGGGGGGGGGGGGGGGGGCGGGGGGGGCGGGGGGGGGGGGGGTGGGGGGGGGGGGGGGGGGGGGGCGGGGGGGGGGGAGGGGGGGGGGGCGGGGGGGGGGGGGCGGCGGGGGTGGGGGCGGCCGGGGGGGGGGGCGGGGGGGGGGGGGGCGGGGGGGGGGCGGGGGGGGGGGGCGGGGGGGGGGCGGGGGGGGGGCGGGGGGGGGGAGGGGGGGGAGGCGGGGGGGGGGGCGGGGCGGGGCAGGAAGCCACGCAAGAAAATGAGTTTTGAATAAGACTGCCTGGAAAGCCTAGCCCCTCAAGCTTCAAGGCTTGGCCCGATTCCCCCCCACCCTCGACCCTGACCCGTCCTGCCCCTAGCCCCTGTTCCCGCCTACAGAGGGTGCGCAAAAATCCCGAATTTTTTTTTTTTTTTTTGGGGGGGGGGGGGGGGGGGGGGGCCGCCCTAGATAGTATTTACGTGACCGAGCCGCAAGACTGGTTAAAAAATCATTTCTGCCAGAAGGGTGAGGGGGGCGGTTGTCCTAAACCCACAAACTCTAACCCCCTAAACGCTCAACAAACCCAAAGACCTCAGGCAAACCTTCAAGAACACTTCCCCAAGAAGCCCTCACTGCGGGGTTGCCATAATGCAAAAACCCGGAACCCTCGAAAACTTGAAAATTTTAAACCATCTAAACTCTTAAACCATTCAAACTATTCTGAACCCCAAACAACCCTAAACCTAAACCCCACGCCAGAGTAAAAAACGCAGCTGAGCTTGCCCGAAGCAGCACATCGCTGTGAGGCTGCGTACCGATTTGCAGGACTACGGTTTCGGGTTGTCGGGTTTCGGGTTTAGGGTTTAGGTTCGGGTTTAGATTAGGGTTAGGGTTAGGGTTAGCTAATATAGACCCAAATCGGTTTCGGACCACTATAAGCCCTATAAAACCTAAACTAAGGGCCGGTTAACGAGCCCTGAACCCATCACGGGTGAGTGTTTGGAGTTGGGGTTTCGGGTTCCCCTAAACCCTAAACCCCAAACCCTAAACCCACTACGGGGTGCAGCTTTGGGGCCTGAGATTTTAAACTTTGGGTGGAGGGCGTCCTTACTCTTACTCCCTTAAGCCCTCCTCCACAACGCCGCACTCCCATGGTTGCGGGGGTTTAGGGTTTACGGTTTAGGGGGTTTAGGGTTTAGGGTTTAGGGTCCAAGTTTTAGGGTGCCGGTCAGGTCTGTTGGCTGCACTAAGGGGCCGCACCATACGATATCCGGGACGCCAACAGGGACGAGAATGTCAAGAAATGGCCAACATGGTCATGCCTTACAGCTTCCCTAACACCCCTAAAAATCTCTAGAAAGCCCAGGGTCCTAAACCACAAAAACTCTAAGAACTCCAACGCCAAAAACCCAAGCTCTCGAACCCTGAACACCGAAGCTCCAAGCCCTGCCCCCCCCCTCTACCTCCTAAACCCTAAACCCCAAACCCTAAACGCTAAACCCTAAATGCTAAACCCTAAACCCTAAACCCTAGACCCTAAACCCTAAACCCCAAACCCCAAACCCTACACCCTAAACCCTAAACCCTAAACCCCCCGGCTCCGCCTTGCTCAAGCGGTTGGGCTTCAGCTTCAATGGCTTCTCCTAGGGGACTTACAGGGTTTGGGGGGGCTTAGGGTTTAGGGTTTAGGGTTTAGGCTTTAATTAGGCTTTAGGAGTAGGATTTCGGGTTTACGGTGGGTTACGGTTCGTGGGACTGGCCTGCAGTGGGTTTTCACAATGGATACTTTAGGGGTTAGGGTTCAGGGTTGAGCTGTGGATTTGCGGGGCTGAGGATGTAGGAGTCCAGGGGTTGGGGGTTTCAGGAGCACAAGGTCGGAGGAATTTTGGGGGCTTGTTGTTTCGGAATTTAAGCCCGAAACCCCAAACCCTAAACCCTAAACCCCAAACCCTAAACCCTAAACCCTACAAAACCCTATGCACACCTTTAGAAGCCCTAACATGCTCAAAATCCTAAACCCTAAACCCACACCTAGGACCAAGGCACCTCGCCAGAAGTATCTGAGCCGGTTCCGAGCACAGCGGTGGCCTGGAGTTTAGGGTTTAGGGTTTAGGGTTTTGTAAAAGCCCCTTCCAGGCGATCGTCGTCGAGCCTCACAACCGGCGGCGCTTTTGGGCCCAAGGGAAGGCTGCGGTTTGTAAACCCCTTGGGTCACCAGAGTCAGGATTTTAAGCAGAAGTTCTTCATACGAAAGGCAACAGCTGACACCGACCTTTATGTACATGCACAGTCAGCAGACTTTCGTAGAATCACAAATCTTTCGCATGGACAGCTTGTTTGTTGGAAAAAGGATCGGAAGCTCCGCTATTCGTTGCATGCAGCCATGGATTCCGCTGCATCCGATGCCACACAAGGGCATCAACAGGTTATGACCGCCCAAGCTGAGACTGCTGCGCAGGTGGTGAATGGTGTCCAGAACCAACCTGGACCCTCGAATGAGCCCACAACAAGGGACTCGGCTGGTGGATCTGGAGTAGTTGCAGGCTACAGAGGTGAGCTGCTTGGGGAGGTGATGGCTCCTGGATCAGGGGCAGCTCATGGGGAGTCTATAGCTTCGCGAGGTGCGCTGTTGGTGGAGCCCACCGAATCTGGCGAGTTGCAGGGGGAGCAACTAAGTGCTCCGACGACGACTGGTCTGGACGGATGGCAGGACTATGGCGAGACATCTGGGCGAGGCAGTGCAGATTATCTCCAGATGGGATCCGTGACTCCGAGGTCACGGAATGGGCATTCGTTTTCTCTTCCGGCAGGGCAGAACTGGTTGGGAGGACTAGAGATGCCGAGATGGGTTGCCAGGCTGGGCAGCTATTTAAGTGTGGGGCATGGCGATATGGTTCCAAGCCCTATGGCAGGGAGTACCGGAACATCTACACCGGGTGGTCCAACGTTCACGTTGAGGTCGCCAGGGAGACCAATGAGTGTGAGGCCACCTACACCGCCAAGCTCCTCGGATTTTCCCAGCGAGGCGGTTCAGGCCGAGGTCCAGCGACAGCTTGGAGGGATTCTCTCTAGATTGCAGGTGGCGGAGGAGCAAAACATGGCGCTTCGTCAGCAGCTTGAGGAGGAGAGGGAGAACCTTCGTCATGTGAAGCGGGCCAAGGCGACTGCAGCGACTCAACAGGAGTTGCCTCTTAGTGGACCACCTCGAGGAGATCTACCACCGCGACCAGAAGTACCTGAGCGCCCTGGAGGACTGCTGAGTGATCTTGCTTCAGCTCATCTGGGACCTGCTGATCTTTGGGGTAGCGGGAAGTGTGAGCACGGGTCCGAGCCTCAAGGGCCTAGTGTGGAGCCTCAAGGTGATCACCAATCCACTCGGAGTAGACCTACCTCAACCATGCCAGCACCGCCTCCTATGCCACCACCAAGGACCATGGAGCAGGAGGAGCCTAGGGGTTTTCTTCGCTCTTGGTTGACAAGGCCTCGGAGCGAATCTCCCCCGCCACGACCTGATCATCCCAGAGACTCTCCTGCAATCGAGGCGCTCACGAAGGGAATTGCTCAACTGCAGGAACTCCAGGCCCAAGCCCTTCAGAAGTCGTCTGGAAATGGAGCGGAGGTGATCAAGCCAGGCACGTCAACCCTGAGTCCACTGCCAACAGTCAAGAGTGGTGCTGAAGTGGCGCTACAGTTTCAGGATTGGGTGGAGGTCACGGCTGCGGTGATGTACGACATCAGCGAGCAGAGTGGAACGTGGTGGAGGGCAGTGCTGGGAGTTGTGGACAGGGCTTACAAGGCATGGTTGTCTTCTACACCCTTGGAGAGATTGACGGTTCAGCCTCGTGGAGGGGAAGAACTAGCGACCGGAAAATGGACCAGATTGAATGCAAGGGTGACGGCAATGCTCCTGGCAGCCATGTCTGAGGAGCAGAAGATGGACATGATTGCCAATCGAATATCCACCAGCTCAGTGGATATGCTCTTCCGGCTCTACACTACCTACCAACCTGGGGGGAGCCTGGAAAGACAGGATGTCCTCAAGCGCCTCCAGAGTCCCATGGACTACGTGGACAAGGACACCATACAGGAAGTTCTTCGTGTGGTTCGGAGCTGGCCAAGGTGGATGGCAAGATGTGAGACACTAGGGATGGCAGCCCCGGACCCTTCTGTTTTAGCTCGTGGTCTGAAGCTTCTCACTGCCAAGTACATCGACTCCAACCCGGACTCGGCCTTCAGGACGGCTATGCTTCGTACGACTCTTCGTCTTGATGGGCAACCCGGTGAAGAGCAGGTGAGGGCGTACCAGAAGCATTTGCAAGCAGAGTTGGAGAATGTGGCGGCGAGCTGTCCTTCAGGATCAACAACAGCTGAGGGGCTACATCCTAGACTACAAGCACTGGACCGAGGTGAGCCAAGGACTGCACCCACCAGCAAGTCACCTGAGAAGGACAAGGAGAAGGGTGGCAAAACAGACATGTGTCGCTACTTCATGAAGCCTTCTGGGTGTCGGAGAGGATCCCGCTGCAACTTCAGTCACAACATGGCTCACCTTGATCGTGAAGTACGAAAAAAGAAGTGTTTGAGCTGTGGATCTGAGTCCCACAGACAGAAGGACTGTGGAGTTGGGAAGAGTGGACCACGGCCTCCTCATGGACCGACCGGCTCTGAGGCAAGTGGTGGAGGGGCGAAGAGTTTGTCCACTACTCCTGGGGTGGCGTCGTTGTCCACAACCTCCACGACTGGGGCGACTGATGGGTCGGTGGTACAGGGAACCCCATGGACCCTTGAAACCTTGGTTCAAGCTGCGCAACAAGTAATGCAGGCCCAGGCTCCGGGAGATCGAGGGGAATCACCTGAGAAGACGGGTCCGGCGGTGCGAACTCTGGTGGTTAGGGGGATACAGGTCTGTGCCATGAAGTCTTCCTCAACAGCTTTGTTGGATAGTGGAGCCACCCATTGCCTGAGATCAGCTCGTTCATACAAGGAATGGAGTGAGGCTGAGAAGGTCATGGTCCAATTGGCGGGCAACCACAATTTGGTGATGAGAATGAGCGACAATGGCTCGTTGCTTATGCCTCCGAGGAAGGGAATGTCAGAGACGGGCACAGGTGGAGATGGAGGACAGACAATCGTGCCCATGGGTGAGCTCGTTGGAACACTTGGATACACCCTACGATGGTCCCCTACCGAGTGCTACCTGTACGACAAGAGCGACAACCGCATTCCGCTGAGCGTCTCTGGTGGATGTCCTCAGCTATGTGAAGCAGAAGCACTTTCGCTCATCGCAAAGATCGAGGATAAAAGAAGGGAGGTGCTCGAGAATGAGATTGCCGAGACCCAGGACCTCGTAGCGATGGCAGCGCTCCAGTTGGATAAAGGGTGGAAGGACTACATTAGGGAGTATGTCGCCACTGGGTCCTTGGATGCGGGTTTGAGAAGCCTCAGGGATGCCCCGTTCTTGAAGAATGTGTCGGAGGAGTGCCTTCGTGATCTGGTCCAGGACGAGGTCAAGGATGCCGGATGGGAGGTCTTCAAGGGAGTTGACTTCCTCACTCGTCCTCAGAAGAGATATCTGTGGGGATCAAAGAAGTGGGTGATCCATCTGTTTGCAGGTGATCCGGGACACTATAAGATGTTCCAGCTGGATCAAGGCAACACGGCAGTGTTGGAGTTGGACATCGCTCGCTGCCAGGGACACAGTATCCTGAGGAGTCCAACTTGGCGATTGCTGATGTGGGGGGCATTGAATGGTCGAATCGGTGCGGTTCTCGGAGGACCACCTGGGCGATCTGCAAGGTTTGATGATGATGGTGATGATCAAGCCCAGAAGGCTCTGAAGGTGATCACTCGGATGATGTGGCTGTATGTCATAGCCAAGGAAGCAAGGGCGGCAGTCCCGATGGCCAGAAACAAGGAGCGTCCGGTCGCCTTTGCCCTCGAGCATCCAGCATCACGGGGTAGCGGTTCGTTGTGGTCCACTGACCTGTGGGAGGAATTCCAGGAGGAGATGGACATGATCCAGGTGAAGTTCGATGGGAACGAACGTCTATTACCTCATGGGATTGGATGGAATAGGGTATGAAGACCTAGACCCTCAGGAGGAGATCCCCAACGTCAAGGTCGATCCAGAATGGTCACCGGGACTAGTGGATAGCATGGTCATGGCAATGAGGCTTTGGGACCAGCAGCCTTTGTGTTGCCCGGCAAGGGTGGCAATTTCTCCTGGTGAATGGCAGCGGCACGTTTGTTCTGGGCACGCAGACTATCGGAGGGACTGCCTTACGTGTGTGATGGCTAGAGGGACTGGACGTCGTCATGCCCGAGCCAGACATCCGAGCACGTTCGTCCTGACGATCGATTTGGCGGGCCCAGTGAAGCCAGGCTTGGATGTTACCTCAAAGGGAACCATGGGGAAGAACCTGCGATACATGCTGGTGGCCAAGTATGTTCTTCCCAAGGAATATGTGAAGGGCTATACGGGGCGTCAACCTCCAGGTGATGATGGTCGAGAGGATGAACCACCACAAGGCCTAGAGGGGGAAGAGTCGCATATGCCAGTGCTAGCTGAGGAGGAGGATCCCTTCGAGGTTGGTGAGAGCATGGACTATGAATCGGACGTGGACGAAGCACAGTCCCAGGAGGAGGATGCTTGTGAGGTGGAGCGGGGCGACAGTAGGTTTGCTGGAGGAACAACCAAGCAGCGGGAAGAGTTCCGGGACTACGAGGATGTGATGTACGAGCCTTCTGAGATTGGTCCTGACGATGAAGGTGGTGGAGAGGATCAGGAGGAGCAAGTGCATCTAGCCGAGGAGGACCAGGTCAAGGACAGCGAGCACAGAGCCTTCCCGGATTGCGAGTGCCCGGAGACAACCCACCTTTTGTTTGCCCGCGCGTTAACCAACAATGGTTCCTCAACTGTCAAGGGAGTGATCCAGGACATCGTGCTGTACCTGCAATCGCGAGGTCTTCCGGTGTTTCGTCTACATGCTGACAAGGGTGAAACGTTCAATCACTCGATCAGGACGTGGCTACGAGATCAAGGCATACGAGCTACATGGTCGGAGCCGGGAATACCTCAAGGAAATGGACAAGCTGAGGGGGCAGTGCGCTGGGTTAAGGACAGAACAAGAACACTGCTGTTGGCATCAAAGCTGCCAGTGAGGCTCTGGCCGGCAGCGGCCGAAGCAGCAACAGCCATCCAAAGATCCAAGGTGCTGGGTTGGAAGAGTCGGTTGCTGGCTCCTTTTGGTGCAGTGGTTCACGTGAAGCAGAAGGCCTTTGATTCGTCCGGACCGAGAAGACGGGAAAGGGCATTCGAAACTAAGTGGATCAAGGGCACCTATGTGGGATTGAGCAACTTGTTGGATGAGGGGCATGTGGTGTATGTTCCAGAGGATGAGAAGGGCAAGGAGAAGTTCATCCACACCTTTCATGTGCGACCTCGACTAATTGATCCCGGGCTACCCCATGAAGAGCTACAGGTGGAGGAGGCCCCAGCTCCGAAGAGAAGAGTGGTGGGCAAGACGCCATTGGAAAGCATAGAGATGCGAAGGATGGAGTTGTCCGAGGAGGAGTTGGGATCCTATGTTCGAGATCGGTGCAAGGTCCTCTTGGAGAACTGGGACCGGGGAGTTGCACTTCAAGTAGTGGATGAGGTGGCAGAAACGGGATTCTTCGACGACAAGAAGTTCGGAGTCTACCGACATGGGGGTACCGTGGGTTGGCTTCGTGGTCTACATGAACACCCAGAGCTAACTCGGGTACTGACTCGGATTGTCACCGAGATAAACCCCGAGGCAAACTACATGGCTATTTGGGTGGCAAGGAATGCTGAGCGAGGAATGCACAAGGATTCGAATAACGATGAGAAGGCCTTCAACACAGTGATACCTGTGCGAACCCCAGCTAAGGGAGGAGATCTATGGGTGGAGCTGTCACCAGGCGACATCGTTACGGGGGAGGTTATGGAGAGAGAAGATGACCAAGGGCGACGGCGATATGGGCAAGTTCACAGGATCCGGGCTGGAAGTTGTATGACATTTCTACCCCGGAAACTACATGAAGTACTACCATGGTCTGGAACAAGAACGGTTCTTATCGCCTACACTCCAAACTGCTTCGGTAGTCTCTCAAGGGAGATGATCCAGAGCCTCGAGGACTATGGCTTCTTACCACCACCATCACAACTACCAGAGTACTTCCTGAAAAAGGGTGAGGCTGCAATGAACTACATGGAGGTTGACTCTCAGGAACCTGGCGAAGTTGTGCAAAAGGAGGAGGAGGTCAAAGACGAGGAGGATGAGTCCTGGGAAATGTTCCTGGAGGCGGAGAATGGCATGATCAAGATAGGAGGATCAGTATCTCAGCAGCGCTGTGAGGCCCCGTCGATGAAGAAGATGGAGCCGGCATTCACCAAGGACGTGGAAGATCTGCTCAATGATTTGGTCGGTCCTCTCGAGGTGACGCACAATGTGGACCCAAGGGAGGTGGAAGCCAATTGGGAGAAATGGATTCCTGCCATTATGAAGGAGCTCACCAGTGTTAGTGTGGCGATTCAAAAGCTGCCTTTGGGATCTCCTGAGCGATCAGAGTGGATACAGCGTCCTGGAGCCCAGCGTTTGCCAACCAAGATGGTCTACACCATTAAGCCTGGTGATAACCCGGACATTGAGGATCCGAGCACCTGGTACAAACGTAAGGCGAGACTGGTGGTCTGCGGAAATTTTGCAGACCGGGACCAGACCGACTTGTACTCGGAAACGGCACCGTCTGAGGCTGTCAGGG